TTATTAAAAAATCGAAAAATACTGTATATCGACGAAGGAATCGAAAACCCTGCGTATTTTTGACTGTAACGAAATCGATAAATTCGAAAAATATCCGATAATAAAGAGAAACAGTTTATGTGTCGTGATTAACCAGCGCACTCGAAGAATCCAATCGTTTACTTCTGCAATGTACAACAATTTTCTCAGATACTTTGAGCGACTAAGGATAGATATGACGTTAGTTATTTTTGATGCCTGTGGGAATGTCAGTCATCTCATTATGTATTTATTAGAGAAATGGAATACAAAACCTGATGTACCATCAGAGATTAAAAGATTCATGATGCTCATTACTTTCCTGGTGCGAACGTATTCGTCTTCATCAGGACTACAAAATTTTGAAAATCATTTCGAGTTAGGAATTAGGAATTAAAGATCTCAAAATGATACAGTATTTAAAATAAGGAAATCGGAATTTTATTTTAATTTTTTTTTTACCTCGAAGTATTTATCGCAAGATGGGAAATTCTTGGATCTGATGCTCGCGCAGGTTTTGGGATACGTCTAGTGAAATTTGTCCTTACGGGTAAATTCGCTACAAATGTTGATAACTAATTTGGTAACGTGGAAAAATATTTATTTCCCTTGATTTACTGCATGTCGACTAACCGAAATTCCTAAGATCGGTCAACCACCTAGAAAGAATGACGATGACACGAGAAGTTATAAGTTTTTTTTCTTTCAGAGTGTGCATGGAAAAGATGGAATATAAGGAATATTTACTTTTTGCGGCATTCATGAGCAGGTCGTCCCAAATGTTTTGCCACTTCTTTAAAATTTCCATGGTACATATTCACAAAAGTAATTAACCGTAACATTTCCTAAAGAGAAATATAGATGTCATGCAAGATGACAGGAAAATAACGTCTCATAAGGTTTCTAATTTACCTCTTCAGTCCATCCGTCTTTTACGTACGGAGAAAAGAGTCTGGCCATCTTGATCCTACGGATTTCCCCTAGAAAAATAAATTGAGACTGGAGGAAATCCGACTTATTTATAAAAGTCAGAAGGCATTATGTTTGCTTTTGTGTTCCATATTAGGATGAATTTTTTCGAAAAGATTTGGCTGATCTTAAGTAACGGCGCATATGATGATAAATATTCCTGTTGGAACAATTGAAAGTCGTGCACGCAAATTTTCCAATTGGTTTATTGAATAATAGGCGTATTATAAATATTACAAGTAATGTAAATATTTACCGGTACATGCTGGTCAAATACTTAAGATTATAGAAAGACGTAAGCGTGCTGGATCCGTTGGATTCAATATCATCTTAAGTCGGAAATTTATTTAAGACTTTTCCCGGTACTATTTATTAAAAAAATTCTTTTCACTGTTTTCTTCACTTGTTGACTTATTATGGCATTTATGTGGGAGTTTAAAATCCGTTTGCTCTATTAATTTAGCCGAGAAATCCATAAAGGACTTCCAGTTCAATGAATAATAGAGATAACTAAATAGGGGAAGCTTAATTAACATTAAATTCCGCAATGTTTCCTTATTTGTATCGGTCACGCGGCAATATTGAACGTATCTTATTTTTGCGGCACAACTGTCGCATTATGTAAGCAATATGTCACAAGTAATTTTGTTGAAAAAATGAGACTACGCATACGTAAATACATATTTATATTCTTTTTTCTTGAGCAAAATCGCAATTACGTATGGCGATCAAATATTTTCCATTACTTGAATAAAAAAAAAAAAAAATTGCGATACTATTCAATCTAATAATAATAAATTAAATAAAATTTTTTGAATAATTTAAAGTATAAAGGTACAGATAGTATCAATAATATTTAGACTCTACGATTAAAAAAATGAAATAAATAAAAACTATAATAATTATAATAATTATTGTTTAAAGTCACTCAATAGTAAAGATTGCGAGTTAAGTGATGCAAAAAATTTAATCACTATTGTATTATATGTTTATCAGACCCATTTAGGGTTAGACTGCTTACGTAATAAATCCTAATAAGGGGTGATGTTTTCAAAGGTGAATTCCGGCTCATCTAATCTCCCTCCCTCTCGCATATTTCCCGCCCCCCATTCACGCCTGAATCCATCAATATGTTCTTTTTATTCCAACTTTCCTTATGGGTTAATTATGTGAGCACGACTGTGTACTCCCCAAAACGTGCAACGTGGCATTTATTGTAAGAACGCGACTGCGAACTCCCTGCAGCGTGTCATGTTTGTATTTAAGACACGGCTACGTACTCCCTTCAAAGTGTGATGCTTGTGATAAGGATACCCCGCAACGTGTGATGTGGTCTAGGAAATGGTTGCATGTTTTCCGCAACATGTTATGTTAGTATAAAGTGTCGTCTGCAATGCATTCTAGGCACGGGTGGCGCAAAAATTCCCATTGGTATTTCTTCATCGCTCTTTCCTTTTCTTTTTATATCCGAGTGAGAATAACAAAATCCTACCGGATATCCAGATACGGACAAACTGCTTGTCAACCTGCGAAGGAATAATTAACTAGCATATTGTCACTTTCAGATTTATAATGGTACAGTCTATTATAATTTACTGTAATATACTTTTTCCAGCGTATGAACATTCAGATTTTCTAATCCAAAGTCTTTACCAATTAAAGGTCACGTGGATTTCCCGCATTACCATCCTATTAAATCTTCATGTATTTCTTTTCTATGTCTAAATTTTGCGGGAGCAAATAGATTATGTTCTAGGCTCTTGAGCTTCAAAGCCGATAGTATAACATCTCACATAAGCTCGCATGATAATTTATTCGATATTATTTTCTTTTCTGCATCACTGAACGCGTGATATTAGTTCATTTGAAGTTGGCATGATGAATTCATATTTTGTGAATCCACTTTAGTGGTTTTCCGATTTGTGAATCAATATTTCCGAGAATAGTTTTTTGACGATCCACTTGTAAATTTCCGAATCGCTTTGTCGAAAAAATTTCCTAAATTAATTGTCTTTGTTGATATTTTGTTTCACCAAGCGCATTTTGCGAAAAAAAAAAAACTTTTTTTGTGTATGCGAAGATAATTTCTATCAAATGACGTTGCAACGGATCTTTTTAAGAGCCTACTCAGTCTCTTTAGACTAACTTTGCTTTCATAATATTATAAAAGTTATTTCACACTCTAAACATTTACACCAACTTTTAATTCGTCATATAATCTTCAATAATATCTTGTAACTTTTTCGATAAGAATTTTCAATCAAACTTTATTAGTTTGGTCAAAACTTGTTGTTTCTTTATTGCGGATTTACAGTATAACGAGAGGCTTCCTCCTTTAATCTGAAATTTTTATTTTCATCAAAACCATTAATGCTCCCAGCGGGACACTACCATATTCTTAAGAAAGTGTCAGAGGTTGTTAATTACTCGTTTACTTTGCCCTTTTTCGTCGAAAGAGGAACTCCCGATGATGGTAATCGGAAAATGAAAGGAAACCCGAAGTTGCATTTATAGAAAAAGAACAATATGCTCTGTTTTGTGCTCCATACTTGGATGGGTTCCTTCAGAAAGGCGTATTTATGTTGATGTCATAACTCCGGAATAGCGAGTCATGGGAATTCAAATTTTCCAATTGGAAGATTAATGAAAGTAAGTCATGCAATGCAATGCAAAAATTTTCCAATTTGCTTATCGAACTTTTATTCAGCTCCAAGTTGACATAAAGCGGACATACTGTAACTCACATATAGTGTAAATATTTACTATCGGTGACGATGTTTTTTTATTTTTATTATTATAATGTTCTTTTTCTTTGACTTACTGTATTTCGATTTTTACGTAGAAGTTGAAAGATCCGTCATGATAAGAAAATTAACAATTCCTCATTTGGAATATCGGAATACAAACACGTAATTGGCAAGTCGAAACCTCATTGAATTATTTTTTGCGGCGGCTTGTGTTTTAATCGTTTATCTAATAGTCACACAAAATAAAATAAATCAAATACGTATATTGTGTTTCAGCGAATTTTTTCTTTTTTTATTCAAGTGTACTGTCGGAAAAAAAAGTAATATATATTTATATACTGTATACATATTAAAAATTTTTTATCATTGAGAAACATGCATAAAATAAAATTAAACCTAACATTTCGTATAATGTTTGGATTAGATGATAAAATTAAAAAGTCAATTTAATTGTATTTGATTTTAAGAGGTATCTCTCTTTTTTTTTTTTCAATATAAAATTTCTCGTGTTGAATGTAAAAAATAATAAAATGTTGAACTATATATGATAATAAAATGTCAGATTTAAAGGATATTAAATTTATTATTATTGTTGTTGTTGTTTGTTTGTTGTTTACGTATTTTATTTATTCTTTTTTTTTTATTTTATTTTGTGTATTTATTTATTTTTTGAAATTTAATAAATAGTAATAATAAAATATTATTTTTTATTATCGTATTGGAACATAAATTTTTATAATAAGATTTATGCCTCATCTATGAAATTTTAAATTGTAAGCCTTAAATATATAAAAAAAAAAATTCTTATTCCAATGAATGTCATATGCATAATTATGGAATTAAAACACGTTATCAATTATATGCGTAATACATAGAAATTCATAATTCGAATATGCGCAATGCATACGTACATTTTTATTTATTTTATTTTTTTATCAAAAAAAAAAAAAAAATACGTGTCGGGAAATGCGTTTGGTGTCAACAGTACGTGATTACGTTTGAAGATTTTATTATCTCGATAATATAAAGTACTAAATATACAATTTATGGTACATACCAATTTAAATACAAACTTCATGCAATAATGATTGTATTTTTACAGGACCTAATATTTATGGTTCTATCTGATAGCCAGCTCCGCACTGGAGTGGACAAAGTACGTACTTGCGATCACACGGGATGATAAATAACCTAGAATATTGAAATTTTACTTGCCATCACCATTACCTGCCGACAAATTACAGTACAACCTATCTCTATCTCTTACTATAATTCTCGTGGATATACTTTTGCCAGCGTGTATATTTTTGGATTTCCCGAATCAAAGTCTTTTCCAATTAAGGGGAAGTGACAGATCTCCACTACAAGGTTTCTCACATCATCATCCCATTGACCCTTCATATATCTCTTTACTATGTTTGAATTTTGCGAAAACCAGCTAAATTGTGTCCTAGGTTCCTGAACTTCGAATCGAAAATAGAATAGTCTTACAAGATCACGTACAAGCTCGCGTGATAATTCTTCTGCATTTTTTTTCTTTTCAGCATCCTTGAACATGCGATATTGGTTCATTGATCGATTGAGTTCATTTGAAGTTGACACGATAAATTCATGTTCCACGAATTCACTTTCCTGGTTTTCCATTTTGGAGAATCCGCGATTCCCAAGAATGGCGAAAACCAATTGGCGTATCTTTATTGACGATGCACCAGTCACTTGATCATTTCCAAGTCGTTTCACCGAAAAATTTTCTAAAAGGTTGGTTAATTCAGTTGCCTTTGTTGATATCTCGGTTTCAAGAAACCCCCCCTGAGAAAAAAACTTATTCGCGCACGAGAAAACAGTATCTATTACATGACGTTGTAATAGAGCTTTGAGTAGAAGCCTATCCGGTCTATGTGAATCAACTCTGCAGTTATGGTCTTGCAAAAGTTGTTTCACTCTCTCCAGATCAACATTCACACCAACTTTTAAATTTGTTACATAATCTTCAATCATGTCTTGTAACTTTTCTATGTCGTTCTTAAGTTGAACCGTGTTGTTCTGGTCATCATCGCCCATTTGAAAACTCGTTGCTTCACCCAATGCAGATTGATAATGAGAGGCTTCTTCCTTTAATTTGATATTTTGTTTTTTAAGACTACGAATCTCCACTTCTTTTTCATTTATTATCCCTTGCAAATTCTTAATTACCCCTTGCGAATCGTAAACTTGTTGTCTATTTTCAGGATTATGTATTTTTTTTCCACATTGCTCACTGTTATTCTCTTCCAAATTCTTGATAAAATGTTTAAGATTGTTGATTTCCAGGTTTTTTTCTTCTTTTTCTGTTTTTAAAGCGTCGATAATTTCCTCACATTGACGAATCCTTTCGTCCTTTTTACTGTTACTCGCTTCTAAATTTTTGTTCAAGTGTTGAAAGTTGTTGATTTCCCGATTTTTTCCGTCCTTTTCTGTTTTTAAAGCGTCGATAATTTCCTCATATTGACGAATCTTTTCGTCCTTTTTACCATTACTCGCTTCCAAATTTCTGTTTAAGTATTGGAAGTTATTGATTTCCCAGTTTTTTTGCTCTTTTTCTGTTTTTAAAGCGCTGATAATCTCCTCATATTGACGAATTTTTTCGTCCATTTTACTGTTGCTTGCTTCCAAATTCGTATTCAGGTATTGAAAGTTGTCGATTTCCCGATTTTTTTGCTCCTTTAAATATTTGATTGTCTCCTCGTATTGGCGAATTATTTCGTCCTTCTCACTGTTGCTCGCTTTCAAATTCTTGTTCATTTGTTGAAGGTCATCGATTTCCCGGTTTTTCTGCACCCTTTCTATTTTTGTCACCGCATATGGATCGTATGTGCTACGAATTTTTTCATTTTCACTATTATTCACTATCAAATTCTTGTTCAAGTGTTGAAAGTTGTCAGCCCCCCGATTTTTTTGTTTCATTTCCGTTTTTAAAGCGTTGATCTCCTTCTCATATTCATCACATCTATCATTCATTATTTTTTGATATTCTTCAAATTCCCCGCGATCTTGTTCCAATTCACTAACTAACCGATCGTTTTCTAATTTCAATCTAATATTTTCCGTCTCTACATTTGTTCCCTTTCCATCCAATTTTTTCTTTTTAGATCCATCTTTACGTGAAGGTCTATTAAGATTCCATGGACTTTTATTTGTAGAAGACCTTGATTTATAAGTGGCATTATCTGTGACCGAAGAACTTCTACGTTGGTAAGCCTCGGTCGATGAGCTTAGGTTTTTATTGCCGGCATTAATTATGTAATTTTCGGTTGTCGAGACGTTGTTTTCATGTTCTTTTATATAATAATTTTTATTATTTGCACTAGTGTATTCGTCAACATAATTGATTTCCTCTTGGGCAGAAGGCCGGATATCGTTTTCGCGCTCGTCACGATCTTTACCTTTGTTCCTTATACTAGTGTGGTTGCTTTCACGTTTGTCATGATTTTTACCTTTATTCCTTATATCCCTTTCACGCTCTCCGTGATAATTATTATTATTCCATATATTGGGGTATCTTGTAATGTTCATGAGTTTTCTGATAATGTACATGTTTATTTTCCAAAAAAAAAAAAAAAAAAAAAACAAACCAAAAAAAAAAAAGAATCGCTTATGATACTATTTATTGGAAATTGGGGAAAGCTCTGCGTACGTAAATTAGCGCGCCGTTTGTTTTGAGCAGCCACATGTAAATCACGCATTCCAGGAAACAATTACGTACTTTATTCAAGATGACAATCAACAAAGGAAATTCATGCAAGGGAAACCATTTAAAGTTAAAATATTTTGTCAGGTACCTTCTCTTTTAAACGAACCTTGATTGTTTGTGGAATCTTCAGGAGAAGTGGGCGTAATTTTTTAAGGAAATAATAAAAATAAATCCTTTTACGGAAATAATGAAAGTCCAAAGTGACACCATCCACGGAAGATCGTTTTATTGTTGAGTTGCGCATTTGAGCATTGAAAAGAAATATATATACGTCACCGTGAAAAGGGTTGGCATCAATTTCATCAAGATGTCTGAAGACATTGGTACCAAAGATGTTCGCGTTGTCACAGCTATCGGTGAGTTCACCAATGTTTAGATCTTAAATGTTATCATGATATTAAAACTTTTCTCTATCTCGCTCTCTGATGACACTCAGATTTCGGTACTACTTATTCGGTGAGTGTGATCCTATTCTTAAGAAAAGACTTAAAGAAGATAATTAATGTAATCATGTTTGGATACTTCACTAATCTTTAGGGCTTCGCCTACGTACACATGAAGAACCCGCATGAAATAAAGACAAATACGGATTGGCAGGTTCGCGATCCCATTAACGCCGATTAGATTTGATTTATTTTCACTATTTTATTCATCCTTTCTCTTTCCGACACAAGGATTATAGCGGAAGGTTTAAAACCCCGACGGTGTTAATGTATGACGAGACCTTGAGACTTAAAGAATGGGGATATCCGGCTTTGGCTGAGCGACCCACTAGGAGAAGGAATGCTTCAAGTATTAGGCCGGTAGAATTGTTCAAATTGTGCTTGGGAAATTCCGCCCGCAAACCTAAACTTCCAGATGGACTTGATTACAAACGTGCTATCAGCGACTATCTTCATGAGATCGGTGTGAAGTTAAAGACTTCCTTAAAAAATTCATGGCCACTGCTCGAATTTTATCGTCAAGTCCTTCTGGTCCTCACGGTACTCATTGTTCACTCAATATAAAATACGCGTCTCTTTCTTGAGTGCCTTTTCACTTATCCGTGATTTTCAGGTTCCCGCTGAATTTGATAACAATGCAATCTCCATTATGCGAGAGTGTGCTCTCAAAGCTGACCTAATTGATACGAAAGATAGCCCGAATTTGATATTTACCACGGAGCGTAAGGAAAAACCTGATTATATTACTTTTTATCTTGTCTTCATTCCCTGTCATGTACCGAATAACCTTTTTTTTTTTTTTTTTTTTTACTTAGCGGAAGCAGCGGCGGTTTACTGCATGAATTCATTAAAAGAACACGATTTAGAAATCGGAAGTTAGTAAATTGTCTCTCCGAGAAAAGTATGCACGAATTTCTTGCTAACAATTTTCATGCACATCTAGCATCGTTTATGGTAGTGGACTGTGGAGGTGGAACCGTAGACCTGACCACAAGAAAACTCTTGGCAGGTGGGAAACTTAGTGAAAAAACCGAACGTATCGGTGATTATTGTGGCGGAAGCTTTGTAGATCAAGAATTCCTAAATTTTCTTGGAAAAAAGGTCGGAGATTATGCCATCAAGCTTGTTGAGGAAAATCATTACGGACAACTTCAATACATGGTCCAAGAATTTTGCCGACGTGTCAAAATCCCGTTCAGCGAGGATCCTGGCGCTTATAAGCCGTTTGAATTGGACCTAGAGGAAGTTTGTCCGGTACTGATGCAATATGTAAAAGGAGAGGAAAAGGAAGCGATGGAAGAAGATGGATGGGTGGTGATAATCAATTTTAACGATGTTAAGGAAATGTTTGATCCGGTTGTGAATAAAATCATACGTTTAATACGGAGACAATTGAATTCATCTGAGGGTTGTTCGGCAATGTTTTTAGTGGGTGGGTTTAGTGAATCAAAATATTTGCAATCAAAGATCCGAAGCGAGTTCAATAGTGAAGTTCCAAATATCTCGGTACCCACTCATCCGATCTCCGCAATTGTCAAAGGAGCCGTCAGGTTTGGACTGAGGCAGGAAACAATTGTTGATCGAGTATTGAAGTGGACTTATGGTAGGCAATATTAATTTATTGTTGTTATTATTCACCTCTCACCTTTCAATCTTCTGCGACAGGTACCGACGTATGTAGAACATGGCTGCCCACTGATCCTGTCGAACGTAAAATGAGGAGTGACAGAATTGTGGTGTTCAGCAGATTGGCAACGAAAGGAACTCGCGTGGAAGTGGATGATAAAGTTTATGGTATTTACACGCCTAGCTCTATATTTCAAACTAAAATGGGATTGGATTTATATGTTACGGACAAGGAGAACGCTGAATTTTGCGATGAATCTGGTGTAAAATTGCTGGGGAAATTTTGTATCGATCTTCCTTTCTCTGGTGAAGAACGCATCGTGTTTTATACTCTACGATTTGGCACGGTAGAAATTCAGGCGACTGCTATTAACTATAATACCGGTGAAAAATATGAGACCACTTTTGAATTGGATATCTAATTTATTCGTCCGTATATTTTTCGATCACACGTTCATCATTATAAAATATGATTTCTCTCAATTGATTTTCAATAAACACGTATTCATAAATTGTTACGTATGTATAAAAAAGGAAAAAATTTTTATTTAATTCTTGACGAAGGAGGTTTTTTCTAATTGTTTTTATTCTCATTGAACAAAATATTTTTATATGAATTCGTAAAAAAATACAATCACTCAAATACGTAGGTTATAGGCTAAATTTTAAATAAGGCCAATTAATAAACAAGTAAAGGAAGGAAAGAAGTTCTCGATGAAACAACAGTAATTTCTCCTAGATTTTTATCATTGACATGAAAATATTTATAGTTTACGAAAATAGAATATATTGAAAAAATCTAAATTCCATGAAAATTTTTAAAATAATAAAAAATTATATAAATTATATATTTGAAAATTTATTATAAATACGTATGGCATAATTCTTTATCCTGAACTTTGTTACTAGCATCCAATAAGAACTCTTGTCTTTTTTATACAATAAATAGTATAGATTCGAGCTTTAAATAATCAAAAATTTGATTAGAAATCAAAATGAGTATTAATTTTATAAGTTACAGTACAATATAAAATATTAAGATTTGTATAATCTAAACATTTTATTTTAGCATGAAATTATGTTAAATTCTTTTCTTTTTTTTTTTTTATGACTGGCTCAGCCTTGTTTATTAGCTTTGATAAAGTAATTTCTGTTATAAAAAATAATTTTAACTAGATGCATCAATTTAAAACTTCTTATATTTATCTACAAAACTTATTGGACCTTACAGGCTCAGAAGTCTACCATATGATTTGTTGCCATTTAAAACTAACCTGTCAAAGCAAGGTTAATATTAAATTACAAAAAAAAAAGAGAGAATAAATTAATGTATTGTATTGAATAAAATTTCTCAAAATATTTGTTTGATAATTATATATAACTATTTCTATTTTCTATTATTTAATCTATTTTGAAGAATTGAAAACTTGTTTTTCATATTAGCAATATTTTCTTGTTTTTAACAATTTTGTATTATTATCTCAATTATATAATATTGAATAATATATTTATAAGTAAGAATAAATGGAATTTTTAATTTCTAGTCATTTTTGTAATACGTTTCTTAGTTATTATTTGATTTTTATTAATTTAATTAATTTTAATATAATAAAATTAAAAAATACTTTTTTAATAAATAGTTTGAGTTTTATTATTTTATAAATAAAAATATTTTTCAAGATCAATGATCTATAGCACAGTAATAGTGCTCTCAAGTTATATTAATAAGGTCCAGAGTTCAATATTACATGAGAGTCATATGAGAAAAACAATCAAGTTATATAAAGATGAGCCTTTTGCCTTCACTATCAATCATAAAGTTGAAAATAAACTATTATAAGGATTGTATAATGAAAGGTCTCTGATTTAATTACACAAGTTATGTCCAATCTAACCCCCCTAAACTGGATAGAAAACAAAATCCAAGACTCTGTTTTTAGAACTGCAAGAATCATATAAATATAACATTAATCTTAAACTGTACCAGCAAACTCTGGGATCCCACTTTCAGGACTGTAATATGTGTTTAATCATTTTTTGTCCCAAATTGTACCAGCAAACTTTGAGACCTAACTATTTTAACTTGGAATATTCCAATATAATACTTACTTAAATGAAGAATTTAATAAATATGACTTGTCTATAATGCTGCAAATAGTGATAAAGATAATATAAATACCTTCAAAGACTCAAATGAAAAGTATTAGGATATCTGGGTGATTAATTAATCCTTGAGAATTTTATTACTATAAAATCAGGTTAGATTAATAAATGTTAAAAATTTAAAATGAGCTCAATACTAACTGGAACTTTTGTCATTTATAATTAAGTATTCAACATTTAGCCACTAACTGAATCTGTCCATTCTAAAAATATAAGTTGGTTTGATTAGATTACTATAATAGATTATTATTAATCTATATATATATATAGAAATATTTTTTTTTTGTGCAATGGAAGCTCAACCTCATTGATAAAGTAATTTACAAATTTAATTGTAGAGATTATATATTTTCTATCATTTGCATTAACAAACATTCCTAAAATCTTACTTTTAAAGAATCTACTGGATAGCTTGGTATCCAGAAATATTTAATCAGATTAAATTTCCATTAATATCTATCTAGAAAACCTAGACACTCCTATTTTAAGATCTTCAATACTTCCAGAATTCTCATAACTAACTTGCCAGACTTGACTTGCTAGTTCTATAAAAGGAGAAGTACATCTTTCAAATGGTTCTTAATAGACTTGATATAGTTATCAGTTTTGTACCTTTCCTGGATTTATTTGTGTTCAGCCATGTTAATTGTATCTTTTATAGGGAAAAAAATCTGCTTAGAACTGAAAATGGGAAAACCCTGTTTGTATAAAACAAGAATAGAAATAATTGATGTTTTTTGAGATCTGATTGTATTTTGTGTCATAAACAGTTTTTCTATCCTATAAATCTTTCATATAGCCTTTATATAATATTGAACTATGGACCTTGTGATTATGACCTGGAAGTACTACCACTTTGCTATGGGTTACAGATTATATATATAAAAATATATATATATATTTTTTAACTCGTAATCATACCGCAATGGCGTATCTTTATTAAGATATTGAGAAATACCTAAATATTTTACAGACTTTCACAAAGCGACTAACTCATCATTATACATTATTAGTTAAAGAACTACACTATTTAAAAAATAGGAGGAGTCCACTAAGCTAGTTCAAATCAAACAAAACTAAGTCTAAACTAGGTACTCTAAGTTAAATTTAGGGAACAATATTTCACTCTCCTAATTACTTGGCAAAAGTGCCTCTAAGTCAATCAGGGTTATCACCAATAGTTTGTAACTGTAGATTATCCCGAAAAACAATAAATTGCTAAAGTTGGCACTGAGAAAAAAGGGAAAAGAGGAATACAAATCAAAGCCTTTCAAAAGGTTCTTACTCTATTTCACAGTTTCCTCTCAAAAAGGGTTTGCCTAATTGGGATATTCTTTAAACTTCATGATATTTAAGGAACTTAGCTATTCCTGAAAATAACTTCAAAAAGAATGTTTGAGAAACTTATCCTTCTTCCAATGTATGGATTCACTTATTGCTGTTGAGACCAGTACCATATTACAGAAGAGTTTGCCTGACTGGGATAAAAAAATCTTTTCAAGAACTTTGCCTAACTGGGATAG